ATAATACAATATGACCAATAAGAAAGTAAGAACGATAATACAATATGACCAATAATAAAGTAAGAACAACAATAACAGACGTTTGAAATCCTTAGTATTCCAATATACTCTTGCCAACAATAACAAAGGTTCTCAGGAAATGTATGCAGAACTTATACAAGTGAATATGGACTAAAAGAAAAAAAAAAGAGGTTGGGAGAGTTGCTTGATTTGAAAGTAAAGGAACAGTGTGACGTAATGTTTCAATCCTTTTAATATGGCAACTAATGACAAGATCATGGACGGAGGCAGTGGCTTTTCTGACAAGGTAGTAACTTTGATTTGGGCTATATTCAAATTCACTCTTTGCAAAGACTTCCCATAATTCCATAACGCCAACATTGGGCGACTAAATTTATAATTAAAGAAAATTAAAGCAGATTTTCAGTTGTGTCTATATGTGCGTATATCCATACGTCCTGGATAAGTAACTACGATTTAGCTACTGTACAGACCATTTCACAGATAGACAGTAGCTTTGATAAAGTAGAGTTACATAAGGGTCAGATTAGCACCATTCACAGCTGGGTACATCCTGTTTGCTAGAACGTCCAACCTGAGATAATCTGAATAGAATAATGAACAACATATCTAGGATATAAACCATTTACAGAGGTAGACAGTAGCTTTGATAAAGTAGAGTTACATAAGGGTCAGATTAGCACCATTCACAGCTGGGTACATCCTGTTTGCTGGAACATCCAATCTGAGATAATCTGAATAGAATAATGAACAACATATATAGTATATATATATATATATATACCATTTACAGAGGTAGACAGACCTGCAATGGCCTTGATCAAATGGAAATGCCTAGGGATCGGATTAGAACCACTCACAGCTGAGCACACACTGTTTACTGAAACATCTAACCTTCAACAACCTTAATTAAGAAATATTTATTTTCAAATTTAAGAAGGGGTTAACGCCATAATATTTACCAAATATAATGTGCCTGTTAATAATGAAATTAGTGATTGTAAACTTTCATGGTGGAAGTGGTAGTATGATATCTATATAGACTGACAGTACCAGTAGTATGATGTCTTGGTGGAGTAACATTGAAATGCCAGAGATACTAGTAATAATATATTGTCATTATGTCAGTTATGGTGGACTCTCATGATGGTAGCAGTGTCTCTGTGGAGTGGCATTACAATGATGTAGATGCTAGCAATAATATTGTCAGGTTTTATGTATAGGCCGAATTCTTTACAGTAGGTGGCTGTGACTTGTCGGCAATAAATTTCAACAATAAATAAACAACACCTAGTCCACTTGTTTTAAAATAATATATTAAAACAAGCCAAACGTATATACGAATGTTTTTTTACACTATTGGTTATCACAGTTGTATCCAGAGCTTTGAATACTTGTTTCTTTTTCATCAAAGTACATACAGGCTGGTTCAATGAATTTAGAACACAATTGACAAGACAATTTATTTTTTCTCTGCTTTGTTATTACAAAAAATCTGAGATAAGTTCACTTTAGAAATCGCCATTATGGCTAAACTTACAATCACGCAGTCTAGATATAATTAACAATATATCTCAAACTACATATTGGGCACATAGTTATAGCTTGACACAATGTATGATTAGTGAACAGTTAAGTAAAGAACTTGCGGTAAACTATCACTTCTAAAATTAACTAAACTGAGCACTCGCACTATATAAATTATTTAAATCATAACACTCACATTAAAATTAAATTGAAACAGTCGTGTATATCTAACAAATATATTATCACCATGTCATTTGTAATAGACTGTTACAGTTGTAGGAGTAGTACAGTTTCTGTGACATTAATTGTCTTGCTATAGTAGACAGTCACATGTACATTTCTGTGTTGTACTCGTGACAAAACTGCTCCCACTGCAAAATCACTAGAAGCTATATTTAAAATGAGTGGGTATTCCCGAAATTGGTATGGTAATATACGAGTAGTGGTCGATTCCTTCTTCAGTTTGTTGAGTGCTTGTTCCCAGTTTGCAGTCCAACAAAAGTTAATGGCTTTTCAAGTAATATGTGTAGAGGAGGAGCTATGCCGAAGATCGATTTTATAAAACAGCAATAGTAAAAATGAAGTCCTAGCAATCCTTTTATCTAACACAGGTTTTTGATGTTGATCAATTCTGCACAGAGTCAACCTTCGATGGATCCATGGAAACCCCTTTCTTGCTGACTATATATCTCAGGAAATCCTTCTGTTGACATAATAATTTGCACCTTTTGGGATTAAACGTAAGGTTCTCTTTCCTCAACCAATCTAGGACTTTCCTCAGACCATCATAGTCATTATCAAAGGTCTTTCCATGAGAGATTATCTGATTCAAGTAGATGAGTATAATATTCCAGAGTAGTTAAGACAGAGCACACTCCATTAATCATTGAAATGTAGCAAAAGTAGTACATAACACAATAAATTACTACAATCTATCTTCTGTAGTAAGTGTTGTCGTTTCACTACTTGCTTAGTAGATGTGCACTTACCAATATCCATTCTTAAGATCTAATGTTGAAAACAATTTGGATTCAGATAGAGTTTCCAAAGTAGAGCCAATCCTTGGCAGTGGGTAGATATATTTCTTTGTGACTTTATTCAACTTCTGGTAGTCAATACAAAATCGTGTGGATCCATTCTTCTTTTTCACAAGTAAATCAGGTGATTCTCAAAGACTTGTACTCTGTTCTACCACTCCTTATTTCTTAATAGATTCTATCTCTTTGAAAGCCTCAGCCTGTTTTTAAGTGGGAGAGATCTAGCTAACTGTTGTATTGAGGCTGCATATCCAGTATCAATCTTGTGAGATATTATGTTTGTTATACCTAAGACAGGAGGTCCATTGGAGAAGGCGTCTTGATATCACACGACAGTTTATGTAATATTTGGCATTAATCAGCCATAAGACCTCCACAGAATCACCAATAAAGCTATTTTAAGTTAATGGTAAGCTGTTCTTGACACCAGACTTCTTATATTTTTCTGAAAGGTGACTTCTGATGTTATTTGATCTGAAAGTACTATCTGTACAGCCTCTAAATTTGTCTATAAATATTATGTTTTGTTGTGGTTATGGTCCTAATGATGACATCTTTATTCGTCAGAATCACCATTAATCAATCAGGACATGCTGGAGTGTCTGGTTCTATTATGATTCAGTTACTAGATGCAAATTCATTTATTAACAAGTTCTGGTATGAGTATTTTATTTATTGATGGTTCAAAGACCCTCACAGGAAGTTCAATATCTGATATTGCAATTTTCATGTAGTGCACATGGATTTCCTGGTCATAGACTGTGAAGCTGTTTCAAGCTATCCTACCTTGCTGCTGTATTGCCACATAAAGTCTCTTCCCAATATGCACTCTTTCTTGATGTCAATTATCCATACATTAAAAAGCATAGAGAAGCTACTTACAGTATGGGTAATTTCTAGCTTTCTTCTTGATGGAACTGAATATCCATTTGCTGTTTACATCACTTCCTTTTCTTTCTTCATCTTCATTCCTGGAAGCAAGTTCCCACTTTTTTTTTTTTACCAAAATGGGCAGAACTATTCTAGTTGTAGAATCAGTGCTGATCAACATACTACAAGGCTTCGCATCAATAAACCCGTACTCTCATAGACTGGTTTCTTTAAATAATAAACATCTTATCTGATTTGGAGCAGATGTGGAATTTTCAGCTGAGCTTTTCCTGATGTCTGGTTAGCTCTTTGTTGTTCCTTTAATCTGGTTGGGTTCAAAAGACTCAACCTTAGGGTACTGTCTTCTTGATATAAAAACAGCTGTTGATTCCTCACAGTCTTAGCTGTAATGGCCAGTTTTACCACATATTTCTGGTAGCCTTCAGGAGAAGTTCTTATTTCCTACAAGCTTTTGTTTACAGTTCCTATCAACATGCCCTTTCAAATTACTCTTAAAACATCAATTTTCTTGTGGTTTCTTTCCTTCATTTTTTGTACTTAATTACCCAATTAATCCTTTCAGTTCTTTTAGACTATTTTCAGCAGAAGTTGATTTCCAATAATACTCTATCTGACAATCTCGTGACTTCGAGATGCTGTCTTTAGCTGTTTATCTGTAACTTTAAGAAATCTAGTTACAAAACAAACTGCAGAGCTTCATTTAAAGATATAAACTTACTATGCTTCATCTAATTACCATATTATTGTCTATTATGGCATATATTGATTGGTTATGAGCCAACGAGCTTCACGAAGAGTGTTATGGTAAGATAAGTAGGCAAGCTTTTCCAAGTCACCCACTAGTTTTGCTAAGGTCTCTTTTTTCTCTGTACTCTGTTTCGAAACTTTTTCCTGGATACTTCCTTTTGGTGCAACACTCCAAACCTGTTGGATAAGGCAGCTACTAACGCTTGATATTGTTATGACTCTCAGCTTGAAGGTTACTTAATGTCATTAAAGCTGGTTGTTTTAAATGGGCAGAAAGGTGGATGGCTTTTTGTTCACTGATTTGCTAGTGTCATGGCTGGACTAGTCCAATAAGGCCTTGCAGTATCAGATAGTACAGCATTATTGATAATAGTTGTAATTATTCTCATAATTATCATAATTATTCTCCTATTCCATATTTTGTAGTAAATGGTGTTTTACATTGAAATTCTTTAGCTGATGTAGAAAGAACTATGACTGGTTTAATATTTGAATTTAATGGTTAATTTTACAAATGTTTTGTTCTTTTTTTTCTACCTCATTGTAGTCTTTCCTCACTTCATTTTTATCTATTTATACTTCCTCAATATGTCATCACGGCCCTTCTATACTTTTTGATTTACTTCTGTATTTCTTAAAAAATGCCGTTGTAATCCCTCTTTAGTTTTCTAATAGCTTCACCAATTTTGTCTTCAATCAGATTTATTTTTGATTTTAATTCATATTAGATACCACTCCTCTTTCTTTTAATTCCTCCTTAATATTCTCATCTCTTACCTTTTTATCATCTTTCCCTTTTCTGCACATTTCTTCTTGCATTTTCCCACCTCTTTCTTTTTTGGCCTTATTTGAATCTCTGTATATTCTTCTAATTTTTTGTCTTGTTGTTCTTGTTCTTTTAATTTGCTGTAAAAGTCGTCTTGGTTCTTTTCTAATTTTCTGTTCCATTCTTCTTGATCTTCCTTTAATTTTCTGTTCCAATCTTCTTGATCTTCCTTTAATTTTTTGTCTGGTTCTTCTTGATCTTCCTTTAATTTTCTGTTCCAATCTTCTTGATCTTCCTTTAATTTTTTGTCTGGTTCTTCTTGATCTTCCTTTAATTTTCTGTCTGGTTCTTCTTGATCTTCCTTTAATTTTCTGTCTGGTTCTTCTTGATTTTCCTTTAATTTTTTGTCTGGTTCTTCTTGATCTTCCTTTAATTTTCTGTCTGGTTCTTCTTGATCTTCCTTTAATTTTCTGTCTAGTTCTTCTTGATCTTCATTTAATAATTTCATAGTCTATAGTAATACTTGTTGAAATTGAGCCAAGTTATGTTTTGTTTTTACCAAAGTAATTCTATTCTGACACCAATGTTGTAACGTCGCACTTTCATTGGGCTGATTCTTGTGAATTATTTGGTAAAAATAAGACCTATGTCCAATCCACGTAATGATATCCAATCAGTTTATTCCTTCCTTAACGTTTTAAAACCTTGTACAATATGTTCTCGAATGTTATAAGTATTTTAGTCCTAAGTTAACGTCACCCACCCTCTAGCTAGCATCCAAATTAAAACATAGAATAAATAGTTTATAACACTATTATTGAGTTTTACTGTTACATGTTTTTGTTAATCTTTTACTGTTACTTTATTTTTGTTACAGTGTGTTTCATTTTTGATAATCAATTTTTATTATGGTATTTCTCTGTCATATTTTTTGTTACTGTATTTCACTGTCAGTTCTATTATTTGGTTTCACTGTTACTTAAAAATTATCTTCACAGTGTAATACTGTTACTCGGCAATCTTTGTTACAAAGTTTCATTGTTACTTGTTTTCGCGGACAATGTTTCACTGTTGCTTTTACAATAGCATTATAGTATCTTACTGTTACTTGTTTCTGTTACAACGTTTCATAGTTATTAGTATATTTTTATTACAGTGTTTCACTGTTATTCGTCTATTATTTTTATAGTGTTACACTGTTACTTATCTATTTTTATTACAGTGTTTCATTGTTATTTGTTTTAGTTACAGTATGTCATTGTTATTCGTCTATTATTTTTATAGTGTTACACTGTTACTTATCTATTTTTATTACAGTGTTTCATTGTTATTCGTCTATTATTTTTATAGTGTTACACTGTTACTTATCTATTTTTATTACAGTGTTTCACTGTTATTTGTTTTAGTTACAGTGTTACTTGTTTTTCACAGCATTTCATTGTTATTCGTCTTTTATTTTTATAGTGTTACACTGTTACTTATCCATTTTTATTACAGTGTTATGCTATTACCTGTTGTTGTTGTTATATCGTTTCATTGTTTTTCTACTATTATTTTTACAGTGTTACACTGTCACTCGTCTATTCTTATTAGAAATACTAGCGCTAACTTTGAACCTCACTTGAAGCTGAGCTCTGACAGTATATGAAAATTCTGTGGTAAGATTAATTTGGTTCTATTAATACGCTATATTATTTTTGTATTTTATAACCAGCTTCTGAATTCAGATTTGTAAATCTTCTGCAGTTCTGTTGAAAAGTTGTATTCAGGTTTTATTCTGTGTAGAGATACGCTCAGCAGAAACTAGAAACATATTTTCATCTAAAAAACTAATGTTAGAGAATGCCTCCACCAGAGTAAGTGCAGGAAATAGATGGTCACTGAACGTTGGATTTTCACGTACAATAGTTTACTGATGTGGACATAACAGAAGACCTGTGTGTCTAGAGGAAGAACGAGGGCTGTGTTGATACAGTAGAGCTGGTGCTGCCTTTACTCTCTTGTTGTTTAATCTCTTTCAACTCTCTTCCTGTATGTATTCAAACCTTTTTAAAGCTAAGAATGCATGAGCACGGATGAAGGAACAATTAAACAAAGTCGCAGGCCGTCTTTAATAGGGCAGGATTACGCAGTGCCGGTTTCATCATAAACCATGCTCACCCAACCATGCTACTTATTTAACATTAAAACCTACACAATCAGGTAAGTATAGTATACTGACCTAGTTATCTTAGTACAAGTATGTAAGGTTCTGGAATGTTAATTCTCCCAACAGGAGTGTTTCCCAAATTGTGGCATGTACCCTAGTTTTAGTTTTATAACGTCTTTCTTCTATTCTTTCAAGCATAAACATTTTAGGTCTGATGGTTTTACTGTATAAAACTCCAACAATATCGTGGACCCCAGTAAGCGGGACGAGGGACCCTTCTGGCGGTTCCTAAAGATACTAATTTCTGGTTTGAATAACTCTCTTTGTTAAAAGTTGTTTCAGAATGGTTTGTTATAGACATTTTGCTCGTTCGTTAAAGATTAAATATATAATAACCCAGCACTTGGTTGTTACTTTGTTTATTATTCTTGAATATAAAAAAAAAAAAATCATTGGCACCAATCCTCACACTTCCAATTCTCTATAAGTGGTCGTTGAAAAATATAATGTAAACAGAAGTCCAAAATCACCCCGTGGTTAGATATGCTCAATTCAATGTATTCAGCAGTCTGCTCCAAAATCATCCATTAGCTAGGAGTCTCCAATTTACTGTAAACAGCAGTGTTCTCCGAAATCGCCTCGTGGCTAGTAACCTACAATTTACTGAAACTATCTCGTAGAACGTAAGGGTATACCGTATTGTTACTGCATTAGTAACGAAAACTGTGTGTGTAGAATGTAGCGGTTACGAATATATTATGACGTAACCAGTAGTTGGCACATGTTACTAGTGTTCCGTTTCATGCCATTTGAAAAAAGAAGGTTTTTATAAAGACAGGCGTAAAAATAAAGTATCAGTTGTTCAAAATGCTGGAATAAACTTTGATGATTCATTATATATATATATCTGTGTTTGGCTTGACGTGTTTCGTCTGGCAGACACCGGATACAGCTGCAGGCTTTCAGTTTTTCAATGATGTTCTTGCTATAGCCACACAGTCCAGCTGTTTCCGACTTACAATAGTATATCTACCCCATTCTGTCTCTCATCTACTCAATTTCTTGTTATATTTATTTTCGTAGGGAAAACAGGAATGGCTGTTTTAAACATTAAAAAAAAAGGGAATCCTTCAGATATTAATCGCCACCTTCTCAACCATGTGAGTAAATAAACTTTATCCGAGAAAAGAATTATCTTGTAGTCAAACCATGATATTCATACAAATCATATATCAGAAGATCGGCATTAGCAGTGTAGTTATTATTAGTTTTTCAATAACTTAATGTTTCATAGATTTTTTTTATGGATCCAACAGCAAGACTGTTCATAAAACACACCTAACATTACTATAGAATACAGCAAGTTCTATATGAAACATTTCAACACAACGACAAAACATACCCGACTCTGAATAAAACACATATTTCTAAAGAATGTAACCAAGTACATATAAAACACTCTAACATCGTTCAGAATCTAACGAAGTTTATGTAAAATTCTTAAACATTACAACAGAATATGACCATATCTATACAAAATTCACAAATATTACTACAGTATACAATCAGTCCGTATAAAACACTCAAACGTATTACTACACAATATGTCATGGTCCATATAAAACACTCAAATATCACTACACAGCATAACAGGTTCCATATAAAACACACAGACATTACTACACAATATAACATGTCCGTACAAAACACACAAATATTGCTACGCAACATAACAGGTTCCATATAAAACACACAGATATTACTACACAATATAACAAGGTCCGTACAAAACACACAAATATTGCTACGTAACATAAGTTTCCATATAAATCACTTAAATAATAATTCAGAATATAACCACACACACACATATATATAACACATTGATATTACTACACAATATAACAAGGTCCGTACAAAACACACAAATATTGCTACGCAACATAAGTTTCCATATAAATCACTTAAATAATAATTCAGAATATAACCATACACACACACACACACACATATATATAACACATTGATATTACTACAGAATATTACTAGCTCCATATAATACACATAAACGTTACCGCAAAAATACTTAAATATTACTTCCAAAACTAAAGAGGTCCATAGAATACACTTAAATATTACTACAGAATATAATCAGGTCTAAATAGGATACTTAAGTATTACTACACAATATAAGGAGATCTATATAATATATTTCAGGTGTACATTGAACAGTTTATAGTTATGATAGGAATGGCCATGACCACGTGTTGTTCTTTAAATCTCTATAAACTGTGTGCACATACACAAAAAATAATATAGATCAGGAACACAAACAAGACTTTAACTTTCGTAAAGAATATAACCCAAGATCACATTAAACACTTTATAGTTACTAGAAGATATAACACAGGATCAAATTCAACACTTTATAGTTACTAGACGATATAACACAGGATCAAATTCAACACTTTATAGTTACTACAAGATATAACACAGGATCAAATTCAACACTTTATAGTTACTACAAGATATAAAACAAGATGAAATTCAACACTTTATAGTTACTACAATATATAACACAATATCATATTCAACACTTTATAGTTACTACAGGAGATAAAACAGGATCAAATTCAACATTTTATAGTTACTACAGGATTATAAAACAATATCATATTCAACACTTTATAGTTACTAAAGGATATAAAACAGGATCAAATTCAACACTTTATAGTTACTACAGGATATAAAACAGGATAAAATTCAACACTTTATAGTTGCTACAGGATATAAAACAATATCATATTCAACACTTTATAGTTACTACAGGATATAAAACAACATCATATTCAACACTTTATAGTTACTAAAGGATATACAACAGGATAAATTCAACACTCTATAGTTACTAAAGGATATAAAACAGGATCAAATTCAACACTTTATAGTTACTACAGGATATAAAACAAGATGAAATTCAACACTTTATAGTTACTACAAGATATAACACAATATCATATTCAATACTTTATAGTTACTACAGGATATAAAACAGGATAAAATTCAACACTTTATAGTTACTACAGGATATAAAACAATATCATATTCAACACTTCATAGTTACTAAAGG